TATATATATATATAATGCACAAATCAGTAAAAAGTTGTGTAGGGTATCAATGATGTGTAAATGGTTATGCTCACCAGTTTCTCTTAAAAGCATTTTGGCAATGGCCCTGCGCATTAACACAATGCCTGCTTTATTTACAGGAAATGAAAATTCTTCCTCTATGAGAAGGAACTCTGCTAGCTTATGAAGTTATGCATAAATAAATCATTTGTTTGTGTCGAAGACTTTAAAAGAATTGATTAAACTTTGCATGCCTACTTTGTAAACAAATGCACAATTGTGTGATGTCTCCATCTTGAAATGTTTAGACCCCTCAGCCTCATTAAAGACCTGTTAAAGAGAAAGTGCACCTGTCAGTAGCCATAATTCACTTATTTTTAACACAGTTTGGATACTTGCCTTGTCACATCCTTGCATTGGTTAATTGCTGCATGATCGGCACCAAAAGGGTCAATATATACAGCCTTTCCATCTTTTGGATACTTTGCCTTAAAGAAAAACATAATCTCTAATTATAGCTAATTATCTCATTTTATTTGAACAATATAATTAGCAGTTATTTATGTCTCTAGCTATGTGTAATTACACAAATTCACTATGAATGTTCAACAAACTGCTGGAACAAACTGCCCCCAAATGAATATCATATCTAGATGGATCCATTCTAAAACAACAAGTGCAAAAAAAATTGAGGAATCCCTTTGGGTCAGCATTGAAAAACAACTACATTTTTAAAGCCTTTTTTGCTTCCTCCTCAAATCGACCTCATTTTATCAGAATCAATTAAATATGCCTTTCTTTCTCCTGACTTATTTAATTGTTGCCCAGGGTTGTAAATAAATGCATTCACAACCTATTTACATAAAGTATAAAAATAGGATTTATTGGATTACCACAATAGCAAACACATTAAAGGTAGTCATGTACATTTTGGAGAATGCATACTTTATCTTACGAAACCATTTAAAAAAAAAAAGGGAAAAAAAAAAAAAAAAAAAAAAGAATGAAAGAAAGAAAGAAAACAAAAGCTCTAGTAATATTGAGGAATCCCTTTGGGTCAGCATTGAAAAACAACTACATTTTTAAAGCCTTTTTTGCTTCCTCAAATCGACCTCATTTTATCAGAATCAATTAAATATGCCTTTCTTTCTCCTGACTTATTTAATTGTTGCCCAGGGTTGTAAAGAAATGCATTCACAACCTATTTACATAAAGTATAAAAATAGGATTTATTGGATTACCACAATAGCAAACACATTAAAGGTAGTCATGTACATTTTGGAGAATGCATACTTTATCTTACCTCAGTTTCCAGCTGTTTGCCTGGTGCTAGATCCATCATGTTATTAGAATATACTTTATAGGGGCCCATTTTACTCCAAAATGCATTTTGTTTTTTGTTGTCCCATATATAATTTATCATTATGGAAAGAAACACAGTCTTTAAAGTCACATCAGTATTTACCATGGTCTTCTTACGTTACAAACTTATAGAATTGTACAGTAAGAAGGTTATTTCCTTTAACCAGGAAATTAACGTTCTTAGAATTGACAAGACGGTTGACCCTGAGTGGTCAGTTTTACTCCAACAGTGGATCTAAAATATGAATAGTTAATTATAACTAGTTATGGTTAATTATTCATATTTCCCCATGAGTTAAATTCGCTACACCATGGTCTTCTGTCTATTTCTTGGGAGTTTGAAGGCTGGGAGGCTGAAGCCTAGGAGGAGTAAAATATTTGTTACCCTTTGTAGAAACTGCATCTACATTTTTACCTTCAATTTTTACAATATGGACCCAGTATATCTGGATCAATTTTTCCTCCTTTTCTGCTTTCTTACTTCACATTCCTTACTAAAATCTTGTCCCCAACTGCAAAGTTGACCTCCTGCCCTTTTTCCAATTTTCTTTTGTGGACCTTGTCATGGCTTTTTGTTATGTTTATTTTTACAACCTCCATGGTCTCCCTCTTCTTGCCCAGCTCATGTGCACATTGCTCACTGACAACCATGGCTTCCACATTTTCATGATTGACCTGAGCGAAACATAATCACAATCATTAGAATCGTGCCATTCATTTTCTCAACAAGGCCATTTGTCTGTGGATGATAGGGATAACACAGACTCCTGGATATCCCCATTTTGTTACACAGACTAAAGTTGACCTTTGATAAAAGATATACAGGTTACCGACATTGTTTATGGTCATACAAACTTATTTTGACTTGTGCTGTAGCAATCTTGTTGACAATCTCCCTTCCCTGATCAGTTAAGATTATTTTAGGAGCTCCATATTTTTTAAATAAATCTAATATACAATGTGTGACTTCTTCTGCACTCTTGGTTTTGAGTGCATAAGCTTCTGGCCGTTTTGTGAAATAATCCACCATCACACTGCCACGCCCCTGGGGAGTATTCCAGAAAGCAGGTTTTGTTGGAAACTCAGAGTTTGTTAACCCCAGAAAAGGGAAACTCAAGGTTTTCGGTTCCAGTAAAAGATAAAACTAAACCTCTCGGTAAGTTACCATAGTAAGTTACTCTGTGAACCTAACCTGGTCGGGAGCAGGTTTTATTCAGTAAACCGAGAGTTTCTTTCGGTCTCCTCCCCCTTTTTAAAGCGCAAGCAATGTTTAAATACCTCATTCATTCATTCACGCTGCAAAAATTGCTTTTATTGCTGAGATTTGTGCCTTATTTCAAATACATATATCTAAAAATTCTTAAATCGTGATGCATTTTCTATATAAGAAAACATTGTTACGTCCCTTTTGTTCTACTTCTGTGTTTTCTTTTGTTTGGGAAGTGTTTGTGTGTGTGTTCTGTCCAGGACGAAGCTGATTGGTTCCTGCAGTCTAATTGGTGCCACGCCCTACCTGATCAGCTGACTCCTTGCTGCCTATAAGAGACTCCGTCATCACTTCCTACTTCAGCTTTTGTGCTCTGTTGTTGTGTTTGCTCTGCCTTGACTCTGCTAGTTAGTTACATGTGCTCGTAAGACTGAGAATTTCTGAGATTGTTTGTTAGTTTGCTTTGCCCATTTAGTCTTACTACTGACTTGCGTTTAAAAAAAAACAAAACTGTTTTTTGATTATGATTCTGGATTGCCCTTGTTCGGATCTGTTCGCTTAGCATTGTAAATAATTGTATATAATAGTATTCTGGGGAGGTAGGGAGACCAACGCCATTTTTGTTGGAACCTTGTGTTTTGATTGTTTTTGGATGGGAAGTAATTGTATGTTATTTTATTTTGTGAACTAGGGAATTTAGAGGGTTGTATATTAGTTGTTTTCTGTTTGTTATTTTGGCCTTGTCGGCTCCTGAAGCAAAAATTCCCTCTCTTGTACTGTAAAATCATTGTTTAATTAAAATACTGTTCATTCGTTTTCCAAAACTCCTCCGTGTCCTCGTACTCCTTCATGTTGCGCCTTCACCCTAGACGGGGCGTAACGACATATATACGATATTTATTCTTGTTTCCTGGGGTAAACAAGTCAAATTAATTGCCAGCGGGGTAAGAAAAAATCATCTTAATGAAAATGGAAACAAGATTATTTTTCTCACCGGACCACTTTCATTTTCATCATGCAGACACGGTAAATGTGACAAAAATGGCATGTCTCCTACCCCAGTCAGACGCACCTGAACTAGCTAATCAAGCTCTTACTAGACATACTAGAAATTTCGCGGCTGGTGTGTTGAGGCAAGTTGGATCTAAACGCTGCAGGACACTGGCCCTCCAGGACGGAGTTTGGGCACCCCTGTTGTAAGCCTTTCTATTAGGTCCATAATTCCAGAGGTTCTGTGACCTAAAATAATAACCAAAACATTTTAAACATTAAGCAAACACATGTCTATCAAGTCTGTAATATTTGCATTCTTACAACTATAGGATTGTATGCCTTGTTCTCCTTTTTTGTTTTTCTCCTGGCCTGACATTGAGGATACTGAGCTATCTGAAAGAACAGAGGTTAAGTAATAAATTATGCCAAGATGTAACATAACTTACCCACTTGCGAATGTCGTCCTCCATGCCAGGCTAGTAAAATCTAAGTATTATGGTATGGTGGGTTTTTTCAACACCACAATGTCAACCAAGAGGGCTGGCATGGAATCAACAAATTTACTGTGTGCCTCTTCTGGTGATGTGACTATTTTAGCCAGATGTTAACTCTGGTTTTTCTTTTGTCTGCATGTGTAACGCAGCTCTCCATCTGCTGTAACGTTATATTAATAAATGAAGGTCAAAATAGAACAATTTGTTTTGGTGAAAACAATTGATCATTCCCTTACCCTTAAGTGTAAAGTTATCACATCTTCTCCTTGCTGGAGCTGCTTTCTTGGTATTCTCTGTGCAGTAAAAACAAATCTGATTTCTTGTACTTTACGTGAATCCATTGTCCTACTTTCATGATGACTAGTGACATGCTAATGACACTGAATTTATAGACCTACTAATCAGTGTTTTTGATCATTTGCAGAAAAGGTTATTAAAAGCACATGGCATGATGATGTAGGTCGTTACAACTGAAATAAATACACTAAATTGTGTAATTCAACAGTATTTTATATATGATATAAAGAGATATGTTCCTTAACATTTTTAGAATTCTGACAAAAAAAATCAGATACTACCAGAATGTGAAGGCCACACTAGTTGCATAAAATGAATGACTACAAAGCTTCCCATATTCTAGATGTTTTGGGTAGGAGGCATAGTTACCAAATAAGATGCCAAATGATTATGAAGTTAGGATGTATAATAATTGTACAATATTTCAGAATGGCATAAATATATATTTGTAAGAATGTATCGTGGATATGTTCTGCTAATGTCAGACATTAAATTGTTGTCATAGGGCATACATAAATAAAAAAAAAATATTTTAAAAATCCCATGACCGCAACAAATAAATAAAATGAAAACTTTGTGACTAACACAAAGCTTTAGTAAGACAATATAAGAGCGAGCAAAAGAGAAAGACAATTTTATTTGTGTTGGACACCTTAACAATCATGAAAATTAGGGTACTGTACATTTAGAGATCTGGATCTCATATAGTACACTACAGTACTATATTTTTATTGTAAGATTATTATTGGTTACATGATCATCATAGTCTTTAGTTA